CTTTTGGCAAAAAACGAATAGACAAATTTGTAATAGTGACAAACTAGAACAAGCAGCAAAAGGAATCAACTTCGAAGGAAATCGACTAGACAAAAAGGATGAATCACAATGGATTGCTGAGCAATTGCGAAGTGTGAAATATAGGGCAACACACGAAATTCGTCAGTGTTGCACTATGCTCTATTCGAAAGAATGTTTTCTATACAAATTAGTTAATAAAACGCTAAGAGAAAATGATAAGACTAAAGTCGACACACTTGCTCCATTCTGCTATCTTTTATTCGATTCATGATCAAATGATTCTAAGAATCAATATAAAATGGAAGTGTATCGTGGTGCCAATCTTGATCGAGAAATGATAGAATGTTATAAAGAAGCCATTGGTATTTACAAGTGTTGGTATGGATTTTCTTCAACAAGTAAAAATCGACATAAAGCAGAAGCATTTGGAAATACCTTATTTATTATTGATCTGACAAAGACTAAGAGAGGTGGCTTTGATATCTCATCATATTCATGTTACCCGCATGAAGAGGAAGTCCTCCTTCCTGCTGGAACAGCGTTTAAGGTTATCAGTGTTCAATCTGACATGGAAAACAATAAACATTGTATTTCTTTAGATGTTCTAAATGATCTGGATAATGACGAGAGCTCTGATTTCTCCAACAAAGGTTTATCGGCAAAAGACGCCCACACATTGAAGATTAATACAACACTAAAATGGCTGGATATTTCGAATAATAATATATCGAATGAAGGTGCAACATCCATTGCTGATGCATTGAAGATAACTTTTGATCCGCCAGTTCAATCAAGCTCAAATTATTCTTGGTATTAGAACTTCCTAATATCCATGATAGGTATATATGTCAGTGTTAAACGTTGCTTCTTTGCCGAGATAAGGAGCACAGAAGACGGAAAAATGAAACATTTGGCCAAGCTGTATAGTAAGTGTTAACAGCTCTAGTACAATAATTGTCTTTGTCTTGTTGAGCAGCATAGATATGATTAATCAAGGAATGACCAGTGATTGGAGGTTCACTAATCTTTTGTTCAAGATTGAACCGTTTGCATATATTATTACACCAGTTAATATTTGTTTCATTCCTCGAGTTCACACTGTTATCAACAATCATGAAATAATTTGTCTCTAGGCTAGTTGTAAACAGTTGATGGAGATAATCTTCTAATAAAGTACGACGTGTAGAAGGAGGACTATATATAAGTTACCATAAATTATTTTTGCAATTCCGGACGTAATAAGTTAAGAGGTCAATAATTTGTAAAATAATTTTTTTTCTGGAATAAACATTGTACTGTAAAAAGACTTATCTGAATGCAAATAAGCGCATCCATTTTAAAGCTGACAAAGTTGTGAGTCTTGTCACACATGCAACAGCCATCCGTGCTTCATTTAATTTAATAACAAGAGCAGTTATGTCCTGAGACCAATCTACACTGTGAAAAATAATATGTTCTTCGATGACATATCTTTTTATACATGAAATAGACATATTTTGTTCTATGTTGAAATGTGTCCATGGGTCACTATTTGCAACACAAAAGGTATGCGTCATTACTAAGGACACATTTTGTGTCGTAAATAGCGACGTATGGACACATTTGAACATAAACAAAATGTCCACTTGATGTATTTTTTGAGGGCATACTTTAAGACACATTATTGTTACAGTGTACGGACCAGGCCTTGAACCATGCCAGACAGCCTGCCTGTTACA